TGCTTCTGCCTCTGACCCTCCCCCCTCTCATGTGCTCTCTCTCTCTCTCATTCTCTCTGTCTCAAATAAATAAATAAAATCTTAAAAAAAAAAAAAGACCCATTAAAAGTCTAAAATTTGGTGATTCTATAAAAACTGCTATCTGACAACCATATTCTCAGGAATTGGGACCAGCCAGTATAGAGTTCCCTCATTACACAGAATTTTCCATCAAGATATAAATGAGGATGTAAGAACTCTTCTAACAATATAGAACACTACATCCAGTGTTCCTTAGGTGTACTTTCTTCCCCACCCCAAATTATTCCACTGCTTAATCCCAAGCCATATCCAATTCATAGATGGAAGAACATAGCATAATACAATCGTGAGTTATAGAGAATACTGAAGCTCTGCCATGATGTGGAAAGACAGTCACCCTAACCCCAGTCAGCTTGCATTTTACATCCAGGGAAGAAGATTAAATAATCAATATTTAATTACTTAATCTCTTTAGAATATGTAAAATATATTCTGGCAGTAACATTTTGTTTGTTCTTTGTTGTAACTTTAATACACAGTGAACCACAGAGTAAAATATAGTCAGAATCTAAATATAAAATCTTCTTCCTATACACCTTCTTTCTATTTGGATTTGATAGCTAACTGTGTTTAAGACTATGTTTGTAGTAGGCAAATGGCTGACAGTCTCTTAGCATAATGATATGGGAAATAGTGGTTGAAAATGTCTAAGAAGGGAGAGTATAGTTAATATAGATAAATAAGGTGAAACCAATGCAAAAGTTAGTGAGCCTAATGATTTTTTTATTTGAGTTTTTTAAAATTCCAGTATAGTTAACATACAGTTTTTTTAATTAGCTTCAGGTATATAATACAGTGATTCAACAATTCTACATATTACTCAGTGCTTATCAAGATTAGCCTAATGATTTTTAAAGCAAATTTCCACATTTGCATCATCATTAATTAACTTTTCCATTATACTCTGAAATGCATATTTAAGTTATTCCAAGTTCAAAAGGCAGCATGAAATTCTATGCATTTTGACTTTTGGAATTGTCTTGTTACAGTGCTAAAAATAAAGATTTTATCAGCTCATGACAAAGGGTCTCATGCCGAGGTCAATGTGAAGATAAAAAAAGTCTTAAAATCTACCAAATTGAAAATTTTACGAGGAAAACGAACATTATATCCAGAATCGTGGACTAACAGAGGCTGCACTTGTCCAATCCTCAATCCTGGTAAGCATTAGACTTTTCTAGCTTAATAACTATTTTGTCTCTGCTGATTTGCTCCTTGTCTTAACATTCTCTAAACCACAACTGAAATAAACTCACCAAGAGTATCTCTCCTTTTCACCATCTGAATTCTGGGGACAATCCAAATGGAAGTCTTTGAACTGACATCAAAAAATTATTTCTCTTCCACATGTTCTATAAAAGTAAAATATTTTAAAATCCAGCAATATAATATTTTCTGCCCTAAAAGAGAAGTCTCAGCTTGGTTCCAGGTACCAGTAGCATAGAAAACAATTTCGTAAATTTGGATGCCACTAACACTTCATCTGAAAGCTAGGTCCTATTATGGTGCCCTGGGTAGAACTTGCTCCCAAAGGAAATTCGAATGCAAAAATTCCATCTGTGCAAATAATATTGAATTCATTTTTTACAATTGCATGAGAAGCATCTGTGTCTCCTGGATAGAAAACAACTCTCAAATTCTCATCATCTTGTTTTTCATTAAATGATCATTCTGGTTTCAAATTAGAAACAGCAGAAATTAAAACAACAACAACAACAAAACCACTACAGAATCTTAGAGAAACTTGAAATTAAGGGAAATTTGCATCTTCAAATGTAATTACGGTAGAAGAGCCAAGCGAGTAAGCATGGGATTCTTACCTTTATAATCTACAAGTACACTTTCATACTGTGTCATATGCTACTTACTTCTGTCTCCTTCATTAAATTTGAGGATGGGATTTAGATTTTTGATCATAGCATCTCTAGTACCTACCATTAGTACCTAAATAATAACACAGTACCCAGATAGTAAGTTCTATTAAAACAAACATATTTTGGGGTGGATCAGTTGGTTAAGCATTTGCCTATGATCCTGGATCCCAGGATTGAGCCCACATCGGGGTCCTTCTCCCTCTGCCTGCAGCTCCCCCTGCTTGTGCTTGCGCTCTCTCTCTCTGTCTCTCTCGCCCTCTCTCTGACAAATAAATAAATAAAATCTTTAAAAAAAACCTTATTTTTTTAAATCCTCTGTATTTCCCACATTATGTACTTGCCATCTGTTTCTTAATTGCACTGCTAATACAGGTGCATAATTTATGTTCTGGATCTAATTCCTTTCAAATAAAAGTCCAGGAAACCTCAGTTATGTTCTTAAGAAGTCACTGTAGTCTTTGACTAATAGCGAAGAGAAACAGATAACTGAGTGACAAAGAAAAAGGGAAACTCTCAATGAAATATTCCCCCAACCTAAACAATCTAAAATATAAAACTCTTGACTTTTTGACTATTGACTGATCTCTTATATCCTTTTATGCCCTTTTAATATTTTATTTAAATTCATTTAAATTTTAATAAGGAAAAGAAGACATTTTAGATAATAAATAAATATGTTTCCGAAGGACAAATGAAGTAATCAGAATCTTAGATTTTGAACACAGGGAAATGAAGAGTCCTTAATTTAAGTTCTATTTCCCAATAATCTGTGTGTAGAGGCTCTTCCTATAAGCACTTTCTATTATCTTAGCAAAAGAAAAAATAATCTGCCTAGTTTTTTAGTTAAGACATTAAAAAAAAAAAAGAAAAGCTTTGGGCATCTGAGCCACCCTCCAGGAAGTGAACTATACTTCCTCATCAGGTTTCTGCCAGAGTCAAAGAATCAACTGAGTTCATCACAATTGAAAACATAAGTGCAATTATTCAAAGAATTCTTAAAAACATGTTTACTCGCTTTGAAGAAAAGACTGGAACCTGCCAAAGCAAAACCAGACACTCTTTCATTTCACTTTGTTTTTCCATTTTTACAAGTTCAAAAGCTAAGGCCAAAGAAAGCTGATAAGAAAATTCGGAAACCTTACACACCAACTAGCTTCCTCTGCTACTTTTTGAAAAGGAACAGTCTAATTGACAACCCTGCAAATTCATTCATTCCTACATTCATACATACATTTACTCATTCATCAACCAATTTAGGATATCAAGACTAGCACTAAAGTATTATATTTTCTTTCTCTATGGAAATAAAATAAACTTTGTGCCCTCAAACATGTAGTAAAGTAGATGTCAAAAGCAAAAAATAGGAAAGTAAAAAGTAAATGCTAGTAAGTGATACAACAGATAACATTATTTTCCACGCTAATTTTTGGCATGATGCTGCTCCATAATTAATGAATTTATTCAGTATCATTTCTATTAGTTCAGTGTATATTCATACTTTAAATTAATGGCAAACTCCTATAGTATTTGTTCTCTTGATAGTTTCAAAGTAAATTCATTTAAAATACTAAACTTAACAATGAAGTTTCCTAAAAATTATTTATTGTATTTTTATATGAGGATTTTGTTACTTTAGGTATAATACAAACAATATCAAGACCATTGTATTTTAATTAGTCCACTAATTAAATATTGGGATTCTTTTTCATGCAGATGCTAAGGTTACTCTTTAAATAATTTAAATACCTTATAACCCTTCTTACATTTGTGCTCTCTGGTGTTAAAGTCTCTACCATTATTATCCCTTTTTCTCTCTCTCTTTTTTTTTTTTGAAAACACCATCATAACTATGTTTAAGTTTA